TAACACCAGTTTTAAAGTCCCTACACTGACCATCTAGACCCCTCAGATCTTCTGGTTCTGGACTGCTCTGCATCCCCAGAACCAGAACCAAACAAGAAGAAGCAGCATTCAGTTTCTATGGACCACAAATTTGGAACAAACTTCCAGAAAACTGTAAAACAGCTGAAACACTGGGTGCCTTTAAATCTCAACTTAAAACCCACCTGTTTAGAGTTGCTTATGGCTAAATTAGGGTTAGAGTGTGGGTTTTGATGTCTTCGATGTTTTTAATGTTTTTATCTTTACTTTTTATCTATTTATTAATTTCTTTTAAATGGCGTTTTAACTAAAACTCTGAGGTTTAATAATCCTTGTCAAATGGCGTTTTGACTAAAAATCTGTAAATTCCGTCCTGTCAGGCGACGGGGCCTGGATAATACCCGTGTTAAACGGACGGCGGAGTCCGGCGAAGACAGGAACTTAAATTCTGTAACAAAAGTATGTTTTTATTTTTTTTAAATCTTTTTTAACCTTTTTCTTTTTTTCAAAATCTTTCTCTTTCTTACTGTTTATTCAATGTCACATGCTGTTCTTTTTTTTTCTTTAATTATGTAAAGCACCTTGAAATGCCTTGCTGCTGAAATGTGCTATACAAATAAAATTTGATTGATTGATTGATATCTATACTTATATGTATATGACTCATTGTTTGTGGTACAAGTTCACACTGGCTGCTGTGTTTACTGTCGGTTTTATAAATGGTTCCTGGGTTCTGCATTCTTTGTGCTGGTTTGGTCCCTGAAATGAAACCGTCCTCCGACTCGTTCATGATTCACGATGAGGTCTGCGCAGGAATTTCTCAAGCAGCAGCCGAGAGGAAGAGAGGTGGGGAAAGACTCACGATGGTGAAGTAACACGGTGGTGTCGCACGTCGGATCAAAGTCTGGCTTCGCTCCGTCTCAAATGCTATATTCCTGCACAAAACTCCAGGAAACTGAACTGCTATAATGTCACATCATTTTACTGTCATCATGTCAAATTCACATAAATTGGTGACGCGGAGTTGATTAATTCTAACTTTATAAAAAAAAGTTCTTGTAGGTATTTTAGTTTTAGCCAAAACAAAATTTTATCCTATACAACCTTGAATCGTTATGCTAAAAATAGGTGTCTGAATATCTGTGATTTGGATCATTTACAAATCAGAAAATCCATACAGTCTATCATTAGATATTGATAAATGTGTTAAAGTCAGATCACATGTGAAGCTCAGGTGAACACAAAAAAGTGCCAAAAGTGTTAAAATAAATACAGTAAAACCTTAAATGTCAAATTCCTTCATCATGCAGATAGTTTCACCTTTAAAGACACTGTTGACATATTTGGTTCTTTCATTTAAAAGAATTGTCATAGAAAAAGCAGTAGAGTCCATTTTTCACGTTCCTTGACGTCTGATTGGCTGACAGGGCTTCCTGATGACTCCTTCCCTGAAGGCGAGGCTAGCTAGACTCCAAAAGTCAGAAAAATAAACAGAACCGAATCCAATATGCTTGTCAGATTCAGCTTAAGTAAATGTTTTTGTTTGCATCATGTTTATTTAATACTTGGGTCACACTGCAAGATAATTAAACCCATTCTGACCCGATTTTTCTCTTCCGACAATCAGAATTCACATTTTCCACGAATTTAAACTTAAATTTAGGTTTCTACTGCTTCTAAAAACAACCCAGGCCCTTAAAAAAACACGACTTTTAAATATTAAAAAAAAAAACTTTCAAACGTAACGTCACAAATCAGCACGTTGCTCCTCACCTAGCAACCTCAGCAAACAGTCCGTTACTTAGCAACTCCAGCAGAGCTCTGCCGGAGCTCATTACTTCTGAAATGATGAGCTCCGGCTCATTATTTCAGCTCAACAAATGAAAGCGTTGAGTGGGGAGGCGTGGCCAGCAGCAGATTGTTTGGATTTAAAGTGACAAGACGCCATAAAACAGCTAAAATCTCATTATCTAAGAATGATTTTGTGCAATAAAGAAGAATGTAATGAATATGTTTTGTATAGGCCATAGACGTATTATAACATGTTCAAGGAAGCAGTTTGTCACCTTTAATTTGCTCAGAATCCTTCTATATTTTCAGTTAATTTAACTTTTAGAAGTTAAATTCACTTCTATAATGCTATGTCTTAAATTTAAAAGGCCCCGTGTTCAGTAGCGTGTTCAGTAGCGTGTTTAGAATCATTTCCTGTAGATTTGATTTCACAGTAAAAGTCTCGACACAAAGAGCTGCTGGTTATTCTGGACCGTGTGGTAAACCTCCCGCTCTGCTCCTCCTCTGCACCTCAGACCAGGGAAAACCGATGTTACACAACCGCCGCCCAGGTCTGCCGTCCATCACGGCCCGACCCGACCAGAACCCGCCCCCCCGCTGAGCCCGGCCCAGATAAAGGAAGCAGCGCCTGCAGGAAGCTCAGAGGCATTTCTGCACCGAAAAGCTGAGTCCTTCAGATTCAACACAGGATTTAACACAACAGGTGAGGAGCTGCTGGAGTTCTGATCTACTTTGATAACTTAAAAAAGGTTTTATTTATATATTCATTTGTCAAAGTTTAGAGAAAGTAATCAAATTGTACTGCAAAAATTGACCAAATATTTTTGAGTTTTTAGCGCAAAATACACTTTAATGAAACAAAACTACTTAAGGAAAGCAGGACAGATTGTTTCACTTACAACATGACATTTTTCATGTTAAAAATGAAATAATCTGGTTTTACTTTTTATCAGTATTAAGGAATTATTTACTTAAACTCTGATACTGTGCAGAAAAGTTACTTGTTTTGTCTTATTTCAAATATAATGAGACATTTGTACTATAAACTAGATTAAAATACTTGGTGGGATTTTGTGTTTTTGCAGTGTTAAAGTGACCTGCGTGTTTTTTTTTTATCAGTTTAAATGTGATTCTTGTTGATGTTTCTTAGAGAGACGGTAAACAACCAGAGATGAGGCTGCTGAACGTCGCTCTCCTCGTTGCTGTTCTTCTGACGGCGACGATGGATGCTAAACCGGTAAGAACCCTGCAAATACAGCAACTTCTATCATTAATATTACTATTTTCTGTTATAATTATTACTGAGAATCAGTTTTAATCCACAATCTAAATCATTTTCTTCATATTTTTTGCACTCTATTGAGTTAGAGGTGTGTTTTTTATGATTTAATTTTTATTCTCTCAGTTTTGTTACCTAATTAAACAAAGAAGGAGCCAGAATGGAAAAGATTAGTTTGTTATTTTGGAGGATTTTTGACCAACTCTTCTGTCTAATATTGCTTTGCTTCATTTTTTCCTCTGTAACATTTCATCTGGGCTTTGACTAGACCAGGGGTGCCCAAAGTTTTCCATTCCATGACTCCCCAAAACATCACTCACTTCTAGACGGGGATTTATTTGCAAATAAACAGATGATTCTATAAAATATGTAAAGAAAAAAATATTTTAGAATGTTTTTATCACTTTTATCATATTTGTTTAGCATAAACGCAGCATTAGAAGTTTGGTTTTAATCGTCCATCTTTCATTAATTTGATTAATCAGAAAGATGAGTGTAGCAAATGACATTTAATAAGTTATTTTAACTCATATTTTCTAATGATTGAAATTAAGGTTATAATTTATGATAAAAAAATACATTTAAAAATATCAGATAAAATGTATTAGCTGCATTTTTTTAAGTTTTAATTTTTTTATACCTTCCCTCCAGGTTTCAGAGACCGCCATGGCGCCACCTGCTGGCCCTTGAAGGGCCCGCAGGCCCATTTTGAGAAACACTGGACTAGCCCATTAAACAGGGACATAATGTAACTCTATAGTGTTTTGAGGTACTGGGAAAAAAACATAAACTAATCTATCAATTATTCTGATGATTAATCGATTAATTGGATAAAAAATGTCACATTTTACAGAGTTTTTATTTAATCAGTACTGCCAAAACTTTACAAAAATATGTACATAAAGTCATAATATTACAAGAATAAAGTGAAGTCATAATGTTGCGAGTATTAAATCGTAATATTATGACTTTATTTTCGTAATTTTATTAATATTATATGCTTAGTGTGGCGCTAATACTCCGTTGTAACAGACAACAGTTTTGAGAGACAAGACACACACACACACACACACACACACACACACACACACACACACACACACACACACACACACACACACACACACACACACAAAGTGTGGTTGTCCTCCGTTTTCCACAAAAAACTTCAATCAAAGTCGACTTTCTTTCTCTGTAAATATCGTCTGGTTCGTTTAAAGAGCACAAAGTCAGAAATCTGAGGAATGAAACGTTTATTGTCGCTTCGTTTTGGATTTTCTCCTCAGATCCGCCACAGACACGACGCCGACATCCCCGACAAGAACCAGCCGCAGCGATACCTGGCGGAACTTTCCGAAGGCTCCGAGGAATCCTCCGAGGAGTCCTCCGAGGAAGAGACTGAGGAAGAGGAGGAGGAGGAGGAGGAAGAAGAGGAAGAGGAAGTAGTGGTGGACGTGACGGAGGCCGCCACCATCCCGCCTTTGCTGGTCGTGACCACAGATTCGCTGACGTTCACCTCGGGAGACGGCAGCACGCTGGCGCCGGAGCCGGACACGGCCAACACGGCCGGGCCGGTGATCATGATCCGGGAGACGACGCCGGAGCCGGGGGTCACCGGCGTGACGTCTGACGTCACCACCCCCGGCGTGGTTCCTACGTCACTAAGAGCTACGGAAATGAGGGGAGATATCTGAAACTCCGTTATGTTCAGGGGAGATCAAAGTGTGGGGCGGGGGCCATTTGTGGCCCCTGGAATGATTGTGTGTGGCCCCTGATTTAAGTTCATGTTCGTTACAAGTTTGGATTCTATTTTTATTTAGGACAAAATAAAATATTCTGACTTTGATGGAGCATTGGGACCACAACAAGAAAAAAAAGAACAAACAAAGAAAATAAAGACTTTTAAAGTTGTACAAGAATAAAGTCAGATTTAACAGAATAAATTCATATTATTTTAAATTGTTTTGATTATTTTGACTATATTTTCAAAATATTACATCTTTATTCTATTATTTTGACTTTATTCTTATATTATTGCAACTTTATTCTCAAAATTGTTTTGACTTTTTTCTCGTAATTTTATAATTTTGTTCTCATCGTTAATTTTTTTTATTTATGGCCGTAAATCTCTGACTTATCTTGCAACAGAAAATATTGGCTAACACACAAATATTTGTGGTTAAATAACCACACCTTTTGCATTTTTACTTTTACCCAAATCTACATTTTATTAATTTAATAAACTTGGCTAAATAAATTGACCTAAACCCTGATTTTGATTAAATTGTGACCTATATTTTTTTCTTTCTTGATACATAGAAAATTTGCAAAATTGCTTTTATTAAGATAAACCTACAGAACACTTTTTAAGTTTTGCATGTTTATTTTAGTAGGTAAAATGGTTTAATGTAAATTACTGAACATGAATGGGATGTTTTGTCCCAACCTTTCCTGCCACTGAATATTTTCTTTATATGGAATAAAAATAATTTTTACACACATATATAATGTTTACATGTGTAATTGATTCTCTTTTTAATGTACTGTCCTTTAGACTTGCGGCGTTTCTCCGTCAAGCAGCTTTTTTACTTTTATGTAAAGCAACAAACAAATCTGTGTGTTTGCATGTCAGTCTTTGCTGGATTGTAATTTTAACCCTGTTGAGGTGAATAAAGGTTTCTGTTAAGGATTTGCTGCGTTATGATTATTGTATAAACATGTAAATGTGACTAAAACCCAAACTTTTGTGGTAAACCGCAGCTGGATGTTTATTACGCTGTCGGGTGTGTCGAGGTTTTTAACACGTACAGTTCCTGCCACAGTGCTGATTATGGGTTATAAATTTATATTTTACACAGATTATACACAACATGGGTGACCAAAACAATGCTAGCATCTTTATTTACTCAGAACGGTAACCGGATCTTATATCCTACATATGAATTATAATTGTAAATAAACAAACTAACATCCACTCCCACTAAATTTCTACTTAAATATGGACAAATGCTGACTGTTGCAGTTTATTTCAAACAAATCTAACATCGAGGAATTTTACAGGACAAACTGGTGAAGATCAGGATCCAGTTAGTCCAAATCCACCAGTTCCAGTAACTGGTTCCTGGTTCCACTGGGTCAGCTGCACACCAGGATGTTCTCCCTGCAGGAGGGAAACCCACACACTGCTCTGCTGGGCAAGACTACAACCATCTAACACAATTTAATTTTGATATTATAATTTAAATGTTTTTTAATGCCACTAGACAAAATATATATGTGAGGGGAGGAAACAGGAAACTGCTTAAACACTTTTCACCCCTTTCAAAATAAGAGGATGAATAAAGCATCAAATTACTGGAGGAATTCTTAATAGTTTAACAAAAACAAAATAGATAAATAAATTATCGATTTTGAATATATCAAAAAAAAAATTTAAAACAAAAGTTAGCAAAAGCGCTAAAGTGCTAACTGAAGAATAGTGCAAGAGCAGATCAGCTAATGCTCTATTAGCGGATTAGCGGAAGTGTGTCAACCTCTGGCAGTTATTTGGTTTAATACCAGATTAAAGGGGGATTTGAAAACTATTGATCATTTTATTTCCACTCCACAGTTGGTACCACATAATATCCCAATAAAATAACCTGAAGTTTGAGGTTTTCTCCTCACAAACCTCTGGTCTCCATTTTGGACCAAAGTCCAGAGTATTTGGCCATTGCAGTGAAACTATGTTGTTACTCCATGTCTGGTTACATAAAATTAGTTTTTATGAAGCTCATCACTCAGAGGGATTCATGATGCTCAAGTCCCAGCATGAACAACCACTGATGGGTTCACTTAATAACACCAATCATAACTTTGAACAGAGAAACTTTGGGTGACGATAATGTTGCACTGGCACGTAAACCAGCAGGCATTTGTTACACAATAAAAACAAGCAACCACATGTCCTGTGGGGGTTTAATTGTGTCAGTTATTTAGTTCAGACATCACTAAATGTCGTCTCATTAAAAGGTTTTTTGTTTTGTTGCGTTAGAATCCAGCGATCAGGCCTGAAATCTGGGTTTATTGATGGATTCTGACCTGAACCTTCAGAGTCAATTAAAGATGATTACAAAGTTGGCCTTCTATCATGTTTCCCCAAAAAGATCCAGAGAAACTCTGTAGCTCAGAGAACGGACTCAGAACCAGAACCTGTTTAGAGCTGCCTTCGATTAATGATAATGAAAACATTGATTAATATATTGGATGTAATGATAACTACTGGTTACTTCTTCATATACTGAATTAGCTATTTGTGCTTAATTTGTAACTTTAAATTTAAACTGAAACAGCTGGTATATAGTTTTACTGGATTGGCCTCATGCTGCTAATTAGCTTTAGTTAGTCAACAGCAACAAATGCAAAATAGTTTTAAGAACTGCTAGCTCTTTATTAAAGTATTTAAATGACTTTTGTTGACTAAAAATAAGAGAAATGGAAATAAATTGTGATAATTATTAAGTTTCTGACAGAAAAAAAAGATAAAGTTTAATTTATTGTTTTCTTTTAACAATTATTTTAAAATGCCATGTCAATTACACCCTTATAATTACACCCAACTCTTTTCTTATAAGTTGGTGATGAACTTCAGGTCTTTCGGGTTGAAAGGCCTCCTTACCATCACCCTAATTTTCTGCTCCCTTTACGTGTTAATTTAAAAAATCTTCTGGAATATCAGTATATGAGACCTGAACAGATGATTTCATTGTCGTGTCGTGAATTCAAGGCTCTTCTGAAAACCCTTTAGTGATTTATCACCATCTAGTGGAGAAAACGAGGCATTGCAGCCTGTTTCCTGGAAGAAAGCTTTTGATTCAACTGGAAAATAAACAAAACTGAAACTAATTATTGGGAGTTTTATGTAATTTTTGTTTGGTATTTGGAAAAAAACGTCATCATCATAAATCCTGTAAATAAACACACATTTAAAGAATTATACCTCACTTTTCTCTTTGACGGTCTTCAATCAACATTTTACACATGTATCAAAAAATAATTCAACTTGAAAACCTTTTGAACATGAAGGATTTGTAAATTTTGCCAGACAGTGAAAATCATGTCTGTGTCTGTATTTGTTATGTAACAGTATTTCACTGTTGTGCAGCTGATATCTGTGTAGACAAGTTCAGTTAAAAATAATGTTTGTTTCATTCTTTCTCATATACGAACAGTTTTTACGTGACTTCAATAATTTAATGAATCACCATTCTTCCTTCCTGTCACTGACTCATGTATTTATGACTTGGTTACATGTTCCTGTTTGCTCATAAACCAAAACAGCCTGAATAAAATAAGTTTTCTTTCTTGATTTCAGCTCAGTCGTAGCTGTTCTGCTCTTCATCTTCATGTTTCTTCAGACATTTTTGTCTGTCTCGTCTTTCCTCCTCAGGGGCTTCACGGCCGCAGTCTGAAAGCATCCAGAGAAACCAGGCCTGTAATCAGTTTGACGTTTTTATGTGTCTGCGATATGTTGAAGAGAAGAAAAGAACATAAAAAGACGAGGAGATAAAGTCAAGACAAAGGCCGGTGTTTCATTCTGTCCTGTAGCAGCACATTATAAGTTTTAAAATTACGCGATTTTGACAAATTTATGACAATAATGGGGATTAAAATTACATAGCACTGGATTCTGTGCTGCCACACAAACATCTCTGAGCTGTCTGGGTTTTTTAGGTTTTCTTCTGGTTTCTCGTACTCCAGTCTTTTTATACCTTTCTACGAATATTCCTAGTTAGAACTATTAATATTTTATAACTCATTTTAGTAAGAATACATATTACATCATAGCATGGTTTATAATAAGAAAATAGTTCAGAACAGACCAGAAAAAAAAAATTTTGTTGTTGAAAAATATGCAGACATCTTTGACCCAGTTACATCCCGATATGTTTAAAAAGAACAGAATAATGGATGATACACAGATTTCTCATTTTCCTCCCACAGTCCAAAAAACACGACTATGCTTTTAATTTGATCTCTAAATTGCTCTCAACTCTTATTTTCATATACCGTATTTTCCGGATTATAAGCTGCTACTGTTTTCCTAAACTTTGAACATTGCAGCTTATATGTGGATATTTCTTCAACCACCAGGGGGCTCTTTAGCAGGAAGTGAATCATTGGAAGTCAAAATTGGAAATAAAAGAAGAAAATGCCCATTAAAACGGAATTAGGTTTTAATAGGGAATTGACATTTGAGAATGTTGATCAGTTAAATAGCACTGAGGGGAAAAGAAGATTTTTCGTTTTTTAAATAATACTGGGATCATTATGAGAATCTGAGGTATAGATATTAGGATCCAATAGATGGCAGTAGTGCAACAATAATGGAAATAATGGATGCAAGCTGGCGTTGAAATCTAAAGAAGAAGAAGAAGAAGAAGAAGAAGAAGAAGAAGAAGAAGAAGGCGCCCATTTTCATTTAGCACATGCTAGTAGCAGACAGTAAGGAGATTTTTCTCTTCAAACTTATACCCTCATAATCAGTTCAGTTAAATCTAAACTTGGCAACTTTTTCTTTTTCAATCCTAATAAATTCAGTTGACCTGTTATGACCCAATGTTGGGTGTCCGCCCCTCTGCTGCTGCTGCACCTGGAGCGGCAGAGATATCTGCGGCTTATAGTCCGGAAAATATGGTAGTCTATCAAAGAATTTCCGATTTTATGAGGAACACTTTTGCATTTAATCCAATCAATTAGCATCATAAAATGAAAAACAAATAAGCTAACATAGCTATAAAATAACACAAAAGAACAAAATTGTGTAAATTTGGGATTTTTTTTTAAAAGTCTACAAGCATATTTGAGTTTACTGTTTTAGCTAATCTCCGTTAGCTCGCTAAAACAAACAACAACAAACAAGAGGCAAAAATACAGCAGTAGTACAAGCTTTTCTATTCCAATTTTACATTTTATTTGTATAATTTTTGGACAGTTTTTGATTATAAGCATTCCTGTTAGCATATTGTGATACAATGAGTAGCTAACATGTGCTAGCATGACCCGATCACTAGCATAATTTGATTAAAAAAATTACAGTTTTTCGAGTTTTGTGTGTTATAACGACTAAAAGGGTAATAATATGTTCATATTTTATTTTCCCCTTAATTACAATAAAATCAGCAGCATTAGCAAGCTAATTAGCGTGCTAATTTTTAGCACGCTAATGATCGGCTCATTTTAGATTTAACAGGCTTGAGCTACTTTGAAAAGAATGCAGTTTTAATAAATTGTAGACGAGAGACCAAAATATTTCTTTAAGAGCTTCTATGTGTTGTTTTCTGTTAATTTCTTTTTACAAAATAAGAGTTGTGGTTAAAATAAATTTACTATGTGGAGTCTTTGTGGTTGATACAAAGTGAAATGCTGCTTAAAGAGCAACAAAAAATTATATTTTTGTTGTTTATATAATGAACACTTCAGATAAAATCAAATAACATTATTTTGAAATAAATTACAAGCTATTTTTGCTGATACAGTTTTGAATTTGAAGGATACAAATAATTCAAAACAATACACTCAAAGCTTCATTAAATATTTTAATTTTTTTCCCCCTCAGGCAAATGAAAACAAAACGCCAACATAAAGACAAAAACAAAAGTTTTTTATATGAAAAAGAACTTTATTATTACTTTAGAAATGGTACAATATGATACATTACAGTAAACAACACTGAAAACACGTAGAGCAGGTAGGATCTGTGCAAATCAACAAGACGTTGCATGTATGAATTTATTTTTACTTCCTGACTGAAGTCTGCACTGCAATGCAGTTTAATCCGTCTGCGTCCTTTTGTGTACAACATATGAACCAGTTAGCAATGAAGCATTAGCCGTACTGGCTACACATTTCCATTTACACTCAAAATATTCCAAGTAATTGTTTTAAAAATGTTCCTTTTCCTCTAATTCTAAAGCACAGAAATCAGTTTGCAGATAGCAGTTATTAAATGCGGATTGCCTTGTTTGTTGGAGTAAACAAGAGGATTTAATGGAGCAGTTCTGACTTGCAGTTGGAGGGTGAATGGGGGCAGAGGACTTCCTGTAGCAGTCGTCATGGTGACCATCCTCTGCCTTCTCCTCTCTGGGACCAGTTAACCTACACACCACAGGAAGCAGGAGGTATTGCCTTGTTTAAATAAACCCACAGCAGGAACGTCTGTTTTCATCCAGAAATAATCAGATAAATAATGCAGGAGAATATTAGAGCTATTAGTAAAGAAGCTGTGGTTTCCCTGTTTGACCCTGCAGTTCTAGTGGCCTCAGGAGAGGAGAGAGGCGAGGTCTGTTCTCCAGGACGCAGCTGTTTTCGTCACCATCACGCCGCCGTCCGCCCCGCTTCCTGGACGCCTTACTTGGCGGTGACGACTACCGGCGTGTCGGTGGGGTTCGGTCCCGCCCCGTCCTCGTCCGAGTCGCTTTCCACGCTGTCGTCTTCGTCCGAGTCGCTGTCGGCGGCGCCGGGCGTGGCGGTGGCCTCCTCGCTGCTCTGGGTGTCCTCGGATTCGGCGCTGGCGCTGTCACTAGGGGAGCTGGCACCTTCCTCCTCCTCCTCTTCCTCCGGAGTGCTGCTGCTTTCGCTGTCGTTGGCGGTGGACGCCCCGCTGCTGGCGCTGTCGTCCTCAGCGGGAACGGCGGCCTGCCGGGCGCTGGCGTCCTGGTCCTGGGAGAGCCCAGAAGAGGCATCCAGGCCCTGGGTCTCCACCTCTGGGGTGCTGGTGTCCTCTTCCACGATGTCAGAGTGGATCTGCAAAGCCTGAAAGTCAGAAGTCATTCAGTCAGAACCGATCTGATAATGTCAGAACGCTAAGAGAAACTACTGATATGTATCAGCTTGGGAACCATTTCTAAGGTTTGGGATGCAAGAGAAGCACAACTAAAGCTACGATCCACAACCGGGTGAACCTTTACAGGAGAGGCCAGCTGACCACATTTACTCCAACAGATCAATAACTGCATATAATTGTGTAAATTAGAATCATAAAAATAATTTAATTTAGTGGAAACAGCAAAGCTGCACTGGGTCGTTTTCTGGGCTGCTTCAAAATGAATGTATTTCACAAAACTGCAATGGAAACAGTTTTTTCACAACACAGGAGTCATGTGATCAACAACCGAAGGCAGAAACTATAACAAAGACAGGAAGTGGGAGGACGATGGTGCGCCATGCTTTTCATTGCATTTCTCATTTAATGGAAATGCTACAACTGCAACAAGACAAACCTGACGCCATTCAACATTGTGAAGAAGGAAGTAATGCTAGTGTTTCCTTCAGAGGTGAACATTTCTGCCACTTCCTCAGAGGAGGACCAGCCTGTACCTTGTAAAGCTTTGGGAACTTCTCCACCTCGTTGCCGTTAGTCATGTCGTAGGCCACCTTCTTGCCAACAATCTCGTAGGATTTGTAGGGGTTGGAGCCCTTCTGGTAGGACTTCTCCTCCACATACATGATGGACTTGTAGTCGTCGGTGTATCCTCCCAAACTGTCCCCGCGACCAGCGTCAGGGTCGGTGACGACGGTCGGCTCGATGGCTTCCTGCGTGGTCTCCGGCTCGACGACGCCGGGCGTTGGGGTGACGGTGACGGGCACCGGGGTGGACGACTCTCCAGACTCTGAGTCTGAGTCAGATTCCTCCTCATCTGTGTCCTGTGATTGGAAATATGGACATATTTAGATAACCTCTGAGTCACAGGACGATTTCAAAAGTCACCAGCAAAGATAATGGAGAAGAAACAAATATAGCATTTTACTCACACTCTCCTCTTTGTCATCATCGTCGTCATCGCTGTCCTCACTGGTGACAGAACTGGTGTCTGCATGTGCAACACCAGCTTTGACCTGCACTGGGAGCCCAGCCGGCGCCTCCTGTACGAACCCAAAACAGGCAAAACTGAAGGATCTGGTGGACAGTTGAGACTCACTTCCTGTCTGATCCCCAGAATCTCACCTGAGTTTCATCTGAAGCATCTTCACTCTCATCTGATGCAGACTGAGCTGGAGCTACAACTTTCTGCAGAAGAGCAGGAAAATTTCATTAATTTCCTTCGTTTAGCTCTAATGGTTTTGAAAAAAGAATCTGGCTGGAGTCGAACAGTGTTAAGCTGGACATGAGGCTGAAATCAGGCAGATTTCCAAACTCAAGCAGGATTTCAATGTGCAGAACAACAATAGGAAGGAAGGAATGGAAGCAAATATTCACAAAATGGAATAAGCAGCAACGCAGATTTACTGTCAACACATCACCGATTATACATTTAGTTAAGGACAAAATAGTATAGTATCACGAGAAAATAGTAAGAAAACTTTTGTTTAAGACACTTTTAAAGAAATTTCAGCTGCTTGGACTTAAAAAAAGGCAAATATATGTCAATTAACTGACAGAAATACTTCATATTACAGTTTTTATCTTTATGCTGCATCTGGATTTAAAACCGATTTTACCTGAACTGGAGCCGATCGTGACTTAGAAAGAACATTTTGCTGTTTTCTGATGACCGGGCGCGCTGGTCTTCTCACCTGTTCACATCACACACATAATAATTATTTTATGCATAAATCACAAACTCATTTCTCTCTCTGGATACTCACCACCTCCTCAGAGCTGTCGGAGCTTTCACTGTTAGGTTTTCTCGCCTAGAAAAAATAAACATCAACTGAATATAATCACAAAAGTACTTCCTGAATTTAATCGAATAAAACTCACCGGTCGGCAGAGAACTGTGGCGAAGAGCAGGACGAAAACAATGGCCACCTTCATAGTGGGAGAACTGGGAACCAGAACAGGTCAAACAAAATAAAACTATAAAACATAACCAAGACACCAAAATACACGTCTGGCGGCCATAACTTCACAGGAAACACAATGACATGTCAAACTTAACATCTGCTCACTGGAGATTCCTGCCTAAGAATGGAGGCTGCCGGGTCACATGACCGTTAACTAGTCCTGGTATGTCACAGGAAGTCATTAAAGTCTTAATTAGAGACCAAAAGGAGAAGTTATGAGTCCCTGAATTAAAACACTTGAGCTTTTTCTCTGTCATCAGGGCCAGAAAATCACATGGTGGTTTCATGAACCGTGAGATACGACAAGATTTTTTTGGCTGAATCGGGTTAAAAAACGGGAAAAAATAAGATACAAGAATGTCTGGAAATAGTCCAGCTGTAAAGGAGATTACAGGGGACAAAGACTGAGCTGTTTTCTTTAAATCAGTCTCTTCACAATAAACATGCAGTCGGTTTAAGGATGAAGAGTGAAGAATAAATGCATTTTTAGCCAGAGGTCGTAGTTACATGTAACCGTGTGGTGAATCTGTTGGACACCGGCTAAAGACTTTGACATTCAATCTCTGCAACTAGTTTCCTTGTGGGAGGATCAGTCTGAATGCCTGCTTCTATGTTTTAATGATGGACTCCTCGTGTAGCGTGTATTTACTGGGTTATAACTGGAAAGCCGCAGCGCAGCCGGAGCTCCATGGACGCCCATAGGACTACATGCGTAGGTATTTTTAAATGTCTATCTTTGTCCTGAGTGCATGACCTTGAAGATGAGGACATTTGGAGTTGAATTGATTGGAAATGAAGTCTTGTTTTCAGGATGGATTTTCTGTGGGTGACAGGAAGCTAGCTAATCGTTGTTTTGAGGACAGAGTTCAAAGACATTTCTGGTCCGTCTTTAAAATTTTATTCAGAGAAACAAGTTTGTTTTGTGTTAGATGAGAAAAAAGTGATACTATGATGATTAAAAACAAAAAAGGATAAATTTGGAAAGTCTGTTAAAGCTAGCTGATGTTAAAGCTAATCGATTAGCATAGCTTAGCATAGCTATGAATTAAATGAAAAAAAAAATCAACAAAAAATTCTTAAGTTAGGTAATTATGAAGTTAGTTGTGCTGTAATACAAGCTATAAAATAAGAAAACATTTAAGTATGGGAAACTAGCAGGTAGCATAATTTTTAATGCTAACGGCTATAAGTTTACTTTAAAGGAGAAGCTGAGTGAAACATACTTGATATGTTTTTTTATGATTTCTAAGCTATCATATGTTTAGCTATGAAGATAATTAAACCTCTAAAGTATGAAAACATTTCCATCTTGGAAGTTAGCAAGTCACAAGAACGTTTTTGATGCTAATTAGCTTTAATTTAAAGGATAAGTTGGAGAAAATATACTTAACTTACTTAAAAATATTTACTGGTGATTTCAAAGCCTAGTTATGACATAAAATATCTTCTAATAAACCTGTGAGGTTAGAAAACATTCTTATCTTGGAAGCTAAGAGCTAGCAGATACATTTCAATGCTAATGGTTAGAAATATCTTTACTTTAAGAGGAGAAGTTTAGGGAAACAAACTTTAATTGTGATTTTTATCATATGTTTAACTATGAAGATTATTGATCTAAAATAAAACCTAAAAGAAAATAAAACTGCTACCTTTTAAGCTAGCAGCTAAAAATTACCATTATATGCTAACTGCTAAACATATGTTTGTTTTAAAGAACCAGAGAAGTGAAAGATACATATTTTAATTATCTAAACCTTTTTTAAATTTTATTTTTTGTCTTGTTATATAGTTAAACTAAAACCTGCAAAGGAAGATTGGAAAGATAACACTTTGCTTTTCCAACAGTTTGATGTATTTTTGTTTTAAAGAATAAATTTAACACAACACTGTGGATAATTTAGAAAATATTTTCTCAGTCTCTTGCAGCAAACAATCTTTAATGATACCAAAGACAACTTGTGTTTATTTTAACATGCATGTGATGTTTGACAGTTTCCTAAAACTGTAAAAAAAAGTTAATGAATCAAAACTAAAAATATGAACTAGCTCCTTTAATGTTGGTTCTAAACATCTGAAATGTTATTTGGAAATAAGGAAATGATGATAATGTGCAAAACTAAATTCATATTATATGCTAATTTTTTTTCTTGGTAATATAAATCTGAGTCGTAATATATCTGAAACTACTTTTAAATCTTACATGAGTATTGATTAATTCCAGATAAAATTGCCTTCAATTAATTGATTGATTTTACTTGTTTTATATTTACTGGTTTGCAGTAGAATAACAGTTTGAAGAAATGTTTTAATTTGGCTACAAGATCAAATCTTCCACACAGATTTTCAAGTCAAAAACAAAAACATTCCTGTTATGACAGCGTTTTGGTTTGAGGTTTTCTGCCAAACTTTTAAACTTGAACTCTGAAATTGTTTCCTGTTCTAATATTGAAAAGAAGAAATGAAAGTAAAGCTGAGAATAGATTGAATTTCTACAGTTATTCTCCATTTAACCCTGAAAGAAAACTACATGTTAGTCTCTGCAGTAAACATTTCGGTTCTGCACTGAAAACAAACCTCACATATCGACTAGCTCAGCCTCTTACTGTGAGTTTAGCTATTTTCACACAATAAGCAAAAGCATCTGTTCAGAACAACAATGATAAAAATAACCATGCATCCATCCTGACCTTGGTTCAACAGAAGAATATCAGCAGGTGAGGTCAGTCTTTACTTTATCTCCTGGACTTTTCTCGGTCTACTGCTGGAACCGAGGCTCCTGGTTGGCTTTTAAGCCCTGGGACCTCGCAGGAGCAGCCAATCAGAGCAGAGTTTGTGATGTCATGAGGTTAACCGCTCCTGGTCCACCTCTCCTCTCTTCTCCCACTCTTCCTGTGGTTGGTGTTGTGCTGGCAGACGCACTCATACATACATACATGCTCAAAACTCCAACATGTGAGCGCGCTCCTGCATTCTGCTCTCTCATGCTGATGGAGTGTGGAGTTAATTTAAGCTCATGTTCGGACAAGCGCAGGGGAAAACCAGCAGCCTATAGATGTAGGTGGCATGACGGTGATTCAGCTTCCTGACAGACAGAAGAACAACGTCTGTCTGAGGTCTTTCCACTAAATTAGGAATTTGTCTACAAAACCAGACTAATTTGTCTCAATTATAAACATAAGTTTGTTTTGTTTTTTTTAGTGCTGTTATGATCTTTTCTAGTGTTAAACTATCTCTCTGATGCACAACTTAATAATTAATAAATAATCTGATGATGTTTTTTAGAATGACCAACTTTTTATTAGAAAAAATAAAACCAGGACACAAAGACTGGTCTAAATTTAGTGTCTATTTATTATCTGCAGGTGAGGCTCCCATTATGGGTTACCATGGCGATAAAGTCTGGAAAGAGGCGGACCAGTTAGGTTCATCTTCACTAACATGGATATTTACAACAACCAGTAACAGATACCGCTAACTAAAAAGTTAGCTATGCTAATGCTAAAGCACTAATCATAAATATTAGTTCTGTTAACACTAAGGCACTAAACCAACATGGTGTTTAGAGTAAGCTAATGCTAATGAGCTAAAGCTGAAACACAGAGTTATACATTGCTGCATTTAGCTTCCCACCAACCAATGAGTTGACCAATCACGTCTCGTCACATGACACATAGTCAGCCAATAGCGACCCTTCGGTTTCCTGCCACTGCATCAACCAATCAGATCTTTTCTTCAACTTCATTCATTTATTTTTTCTTGTAAATTTTATTCAACTGAAAGTTTACAGAACAACCAGATAAATTAGCACTTATACAAAGAAATTAAGTTAAGGGAAGCTAAGTATGCTAAATGTTTTCAAAGCTAGCAAGTGTCCCAACCACTGATAGCAGCTGATTCTCTCCACTGTGTTGGTTTGTGGAAACACAGTTTTAGTGAGAGAAAATATTAAATTTTAAAATCTTTTTAAAGAGGAAATTAATTACTGAGAGAAAATACTGTTAGAAAAATATGAACTTCAGCCCAGCACTGCTTTAGCCAGGCTCACCATCTTCTTTTGACTTTTGATGTTGTTAGTGCTGAAGGTATCGCCACCTGCTGGCATGGCATAAGCATAGCCCCATTTTATAATGGCAGTTTTACAATACAGACAGATGTTTTTCCAAAATGGACAAAATAAATATACAGAGCTGAATATCTGGAAACAAGAAGTTACCTTGATAAGGAAATTTCATAGTTTCATAGTATTAATTTCTATTTAAATAACAACATTTGAGATTGATTTACATCATCACTTTGCTCTTTATGTTGTTACTGACAACCTGCAGAAAAATGCAGACTGCTAACCCAATAATAGCTACTAATGTCAAAATGTGTTTTTTAACATTGTAATCAATGTGATTCTGAAGCTGGGCCTCATCTAGATGCAGAAGTTGTAAAAATACATGTATATATTTGTGTTTCCAAAAAAACAAAGCAAAGAATCAAAGATGAAAAAACTCATATTTATTCCTGATGTTTAAGTGATATAAACTTTTCAGTAGAGCTGAGTTAGTCCAGATACTTTCACCATCCTGCAGAAAAGTAAATTCAGTCTTTGTGTTTTCTGACAATCTGCAAATAAAACACAAGTTGTAGAGATAATTTTAGGAGATATTTGGTCATAAAGTCCAGTGGACACTGGAGACGTCTTTGTTTTATTTTATCTGTGGTGAAAATAATCTACAAACTATCAGTGTTGGTTTTTCCTCGTCGGCCATATTTGCAAGATGTTTTCCACTTGGAATCAACTTTCTCTCTGCACATTATGAAATGTTTATAGATCAATTTATAAGTAATTTCTGTCATCTTTCCATCGTGGCATTGAGTTAACACACATCTCCATGACAACCAGTACTGTCATGGTGCCTTCAGAGTCGTCCAATGTTGGTTTACCAATCTGATGTATAAGTTAAATCGTTGTTATGTAATCCTGTATAATGTATATAAGCTCCTGAACTGTCATGTCTGCCGTCAAACTCTGACGAGACGCCGACGTTTTATTGTAATTACAGGTTTGAAACTTTCACAAATCATATTTAATGATCCCGTCGCCTCACTGAACGTAAAATAAAAATTATAAGAGAATGCAAAGAACGCTCATCTGTCTGGATTCAACCATAAAGTCTTCATATATCCTCAGCTAATCAGTGTCTGATGTCAGGGATGTGCAGCAACAAAAAGATAATTAAAGATGTTAAAATGCAACATTGATCAGTTAGTTTTTATAAATTGACAGTAAACATGTGGGACTGTTTGTCTCATCTGTCCTGCGATGGACTGAAGATGTGTCCAGGGAGCGTCCTGCTGCTCCTACTTGTGGGGTTTTATTTTGAAAAGCAGAGCTGCTGTGAGCAATCAGTATCTTACCTGCAGCAGGAAAGTCAGAACAACAAAACTCCTGAGAGACTCGAGTCATTTTTAGTTTGGACGATTCAATCTGAGTCAAACCCTGACAAAATATTTTTATTTAACGTCGTGCAAATGATAAATTGATGGTGTTGCTATTTCTGTGACAATGAAATATATCCTGCAAATCACAGTGATTAAGGAAAACTCATCAATATATAAATCCTGTGTTTTACTAACATTTTTTAATGGTTTGGATTCTTTTTGGTGGTTTGAATTTGCCAATTCAACCTTCATTGATTGATTGATAAATAAGCAGCTTTGGGACCTTAACAGAGCGTCACAGGACACAACAGTGATTAATTTTATGACATATTTAAAACATAATGCAGGGGTGTCCAAACTTTTTGCACTGAGGGCCAAAATTCCCAAGCTGAAAATATTCAGAGACCAAAATTTTCTTTTTTTCTCCTCCAATTAAAAATGCAAACGTATTATTGTGAATTCTTTGTCTTTTACCTGCACAATAATATTCTACAATTGTATTAATACACTTATTAAACTTTTGGTACTTCTTATTTTTTATATATTATAATCTTACAAAATGTTTTTAGTTTATTCCCCATCAACGAAAATAAGAAGAGTAATGGTTGGATGTGTCAAATTTTGTTTTTGAATAAAAACATGCTATAAGTTTGTGGAATTTCAAAATAAATAAATAAATAAATAAATAAATAAATAAATAAATACTAAAAGACTAACTACAGAAAACTTATTTACATCATACACTGTTAAAAAAAACCCTGTAGCTTACAGTAAAACACTGGCACCTAATTTTCTGTGGTTGCCAGAATTTTACCATATAAATATGGCAAGATTTATATAAATATGGCAAAAATTCTGGCAAACACAGAATTGTACCGTATTTGTAAAATACACTACACACAGAAACAGATTTTATTATTTCTGTGAGTTTTACCATCACAGAAACACAGATTTTACTGTAATTATATGATAAAATAAATCTGTATGTGGTAAAATCATGGAAACATGGAGATGGAAAAATCCGTATTTATATATGAATTCGAGACGTTTCTTCCCCCGTACAGTGTGCTTCACATTTTCCATTTAAGAAAATATAAACTTGGCACAGAAAATATCTTTTAAAAAAATTTACAAAAAATGTTGTATGGCCAAATTTGTGTCATTGTTGTATTGCAATCGGGGGCCAAACAAAATGAATCCAAGGGCCACAGTTGGCTCCCGGGCCGCAGTTTGGACACCGCTGATCTAATCAACTAGAAACATCGTTCTCCATGTCCCGGATGTAGAGCACGTGTCCTGAAACCCTGATGTTATTTTCCGCATGTTACGTTGGAGCTGCACGTTTTAAGAGAAACCTCTGGATATTTGCGTCTTCATAAAAGCCGCCAGATTTTACTGGAACTGGCTGATGAAGTTTGGTGATGATAAAAGCGGGTCCGCGCCGCGCGGAGCCGCTGGACGTGGAGACGTGGGCTGGACGTCACAGACACGCGGCACGCAGCGCACACTCTTTCCAGGCTATAAATGTGCTGGAACACCGACTGGCAGACAGCGGAATATGACATAAAAAGAGTGAAGTGAGAAAACCACATTCATCAGGCCTTTTCCAGACTCCATGTGTCTTTCTGTTGTGCATCAACGTATTTATGGATTTCCACAAGGCGACTTTCCCCTCACGAGAAGCGACACAAATAAAACCAGAAGAGTTTCTTACTGTTTTCTCACCACATGAATTAACCCTGTAAATAACATTTTATGTCACTTCATTCAATTCTGTTTATTTACAAAGTGACAATTACAAACAAAATGCATTAATTAGTTAATCCTAATTATCAAGCAGTGATTGAAGTTCAGTTTATTATTCAAATTAGCACCAAAAGTTTTAAATGTAAGAAAACCCAGAAGATTGCATTCAGTACATATATAGATATATAATAATAATTTATCAATAAGTGAGAATAATATTCATATATTTTGGTAACTTAGTCACTAAGTGAAACCCTCTATAGATTAATTTAACTAAGATTATTATTTTAACCATGGCTGGGACTTTGATGCATTAATTTGATTAATTGATTACAAAGATTTGAATGTTTTTCACTTTTTCTATTAAATATATAAAAATCAATATCAAGGAATTGGATTTTGTACTGTATGTTATGCTATGCTACATTATGCGCTACATTATGCTATGCTACATTATGCTATACTACATTATGCTATGCTACACAATACAATGCTATGCNATGGTAAACTACACTATGCTATACTGCACTATGTTACGCAATACTATACTACAGTATGCTATGCTATGCTATGCTATGCTATGCTAAATATTCTGCTACGTTTGAGACTCCGGTC